TACTTGCCATTTTTTTTTACAAAAACAAGCAAAAATTAAAAAAATAAAATAAAAAGAAAAGTATACACAAAGACCTAGACTCAAGCAATCAAAAACAATCAAGCATTGACACCGTTCCCCGGCAACGGCGCCATTTTGAGCGCGGGGAAATTATGTCGTTGACTAACCTCCTCACGGCCAAACAAAATTTATTATAATCCTAAACTAACCCCTAAACAAGTCTAGTGGTAAGTTCGGAGTCGAACCACAAGGAACGGTAATGTTGGATTGTTCTCGATCTAATGCTTAAGCTACGCCGAAGTCGGTTTATGGATAGTGGACACTACAACTACACTAACACACATATAAAGATCAAGATATTACAAAGTCTACTAGGGGCAAAGATCCACTTTGAACAATTAACAAGTTAATGGGAATCGATTTGATAATCAATCATGCAAAGAAAGAATTAAAATGGGAATTAATTACCATCAAGAGCAATCTCTCAAATTCCTAGCCTAGATCCCTCATTGACTTGGTGCATAGAAGAAATTTACCCAAAATGCAATCAAATATATAAATTCTAATTCACAATCCCTTGTCAAACTAGAAGTAACATGCAATTAAGTTTGCTATCTTGGGAGATCAATCCAATCTAAAACAAACAACATGCCATCATCAATTCAATCAATTTAATCACACAATTATCATCAAATTTATCTCAAATAACTCAATTAACCATAACAAAGCTTCACTCAACACCTAGTAGAAGGAAATCTACTCAAACATGATTAACAAAGCAATTAATAAAGCATAAAGAGAGAAGAGAGTAAGAAATGCTCATTGATATAAAATGGAGATCTTCAAATCATCAAATTCCTCCTTTGATTATCCCAAATCCATGAAAACCATTGTTTCTATCACTTTCTCTCTCCAAAATTTGAGAGTTTCTCTCTCTAAAAACCTAAAACTACTGAAAATATGAATTCTCCCTTCTAAAATGAGCAAAGAATCTATTTATAGCCCTTACTAAATTGCCTAGGAAGCTCCGCAAAAAGTCGAGCAGCGCGTAGAGGAGCGGGCGTGCACCCCTCAGGAGCGGGCGCTCCAAACCTTCTGCCAAACTTCAAAATTGCACACCCTGTGAGGAGCGGGCGTGCGGCCTTGAGGAGCGGGCGCTCCTGGCTGCGGACTGGGCAAACTGCTCAGCTTCAAATGAGCATATCTCCCACGTTTTACATCGGAATTGAGCATATGACCTGTCGTTGGAAAGCTCTCAAGATAAGCTTTCATCTCCGATTAGGATCGTCCCAAAATGTTTTGTAGATCAAAAGATATAGGCGTTTGAAGTATGATCTTTGCAAATCAAGTGCACATTTCTTCATTACTTGTTCTTTTGTGCTTTATATTTCTTCAATCTTGAGAAATGAACTTATCCAAGTGTTCCTAAACATAAGAGTAAACCAATAAAGTTTAATCTAATGTCATAAGCCACCAAAATATGCAAGAAAAGCCAAATTTGAGCAATAACGACATTTCACACATAAACATGACAAATGTAGTAAAACGTTATTAAAACCAAGTAAAAAGATAGAAAAACTATGAAAAACTAACTAGAAAACTCCTAAAAATAGCGACATAAATGACACTTATCAGTACGCTGCCCCTATACTCCGCCCGGTCAGCCGCTGATATGTCTATTTTATATAGTATTTTACCCCCGTCCCAAGGTCATTATTAGTAGTGTTTTTGGCTCTTTCAGGCCACTTTTATTACTAATATGTGTTTTCTAGTGTTTTCGTAGTTTTGGTTGAGTTTTGCAGGGAATTGCACCTTTGGAGCATTTTCCCGGGATTTTTATGAAGCAACTACGAGCATTGGAGGAACGCGACCACTTTTGGAGCCCAAGGTCGGCTAGAGTCATCGAGTCGGTGATTAAGGGCTCGGTTATTTGGATCAGGAGGCAATTGGACCATGTATTTGAGACCCGAGAGGAAATATGGATTAGGCCGAGAAATCTAGCCCAACGAAGTCCAAGCCTCGAAGAAGAAGACCGGACCCGATCGGGCAAGCATATGCCCGATCGGGCGAGATGCATGCTGGTGCGTAGCCCAAGGCGCGCCTGATCGTGCGAGGCTTAGCACGATCGGGCGGGGCTATGAGAAGACCTGAGCGAGCAAAGAGGCGCGCCCGATCGGGTGGTCTCTAGCTCGATCGGGCGCGTTTCTGGAGAACCATTTTTGACGAGCAATTAGTTTCTAATTAGGAGTTGTTTTAGTTTTGTTTTAAATACGTTTTGTGCGGAATAATTAGGGGTCTCTTCTCTTAGACCTCTTCTTCTTCTCTTAATTCTTCTTCCTTAGACTTCCTCTCTCTACTTAGACTTCTCTCTATAAACTCTCTCTCTCTAAACCTTTGTTTTTATTTCTTTGATTAATTCCAGATTATTTTGGTAATGATTTCTCTTCCAATAATCTTAGTTATTTATTTTATTTCTTTCATCATGATTTATTTTATTATTTTGATTAGTTTAGTTTTTAATATGTGTGAGTAGTTTAATTTCTAGGGTTCATGGGGATCTAATAAATAATATGAAGGGGTAAATTATTATTTGTTGATTATCAATGCTAGATTAATTTCCTATTGATTGATTAAATGCTCTGTGACTAGATTAGGCCTATCTTTTATGCATGAGTTTGACAATATTGATTCAAGAATCGAGAGATGAGAATTAATGTTTAGGTCTAGTTTCAATAGGCAAGTTAATTTATAAATGGTTAAGTCAAGATTCGAGAGATGAGATTTAATATCGATAAATTAATTGTGTGATTGTAATAAGTAGCGTGAGCCCTTTACAATCTGGTTAATTGATGCATTGATGATTGTCTATTATTGATTATTGGTATTGCATGATAATTTCTTATTGGATTGTTTTAATGTTTTACAATTGCGGGTTGTAAAAGTATAGCAATATTAAATTGATGAATCGAGTAGATGTTAATTTGATATTAAAGGCTATTTTCAATAAGAACTTAGATCTAGTAAATTGCGAGAGCCTGTTAGATCTATGTTGATTAATAAATTGCGAGAGCCTGTTAATCATGTTATTTATGAAATGTCAATGATTGATTACTATGTTTTACCCTGGAGTATTATTTATTGGTGAACCTATGCCCTAGATCCTTTTATATATTATTTTCTCCCTATTCCTACTCTTTTTAGTTTAGTTTCTTATTCAACTATAAATATTGGTTACTTAAATAGTTTAGATTATATTAATCAATTAGGAGTAAAAAGACTAGTTTCCCTGTGGAGATCGACCCTACTTCCCTGTCTACCTTAGTTAGTGATTTAGGTAATTATTTTTGATAAGGGGATACGACTTTACCCTGTCAGCCGCCCAATCAGGGTGATGCTTGCCCGATCGGGCGCGAGGGTGACCAGAATATCGTCTTCTATGCCGCCCGATCGGGCAGCCACCGCCAGATCGGGCGCGAGAAGGGAACGAAATTGATGGAAATTACAATCTGGAATTTTGGGTTCACCGCCCGATCGAGCAACCACCGCTCGATCGGGCCCGAGAGGTGGCAGAAATTGACGCTCATTATCGCCCGGTCGGGCGGTGGCCGGCCCGATCGGGCGCGTGGAGTTCAGTTTGAAAACTGGAAGTTTTGTCAGTTTTTGTACAGTTTTGGTAGTTTTTCTTCGTGACTTTTTGTGGAAGTTGAGACTTTAATGTATATATGTTCTTGAAACATATGATGGGTATTAAGTGAGAAAAATAATCAGTTTTTATTTTTCTTGTAAACCTTTTGCAATTTTTATAATTATCATCATCATAAATTCAAAGGCTTACTTACATTGTTTTGTAATCATCCTACTTGTGATTGCAATTGTTTCTTCGTTGTATCTCCTAAGTAAATTTCCGTGAAAACCCAGGTGTAGTATAGGGTCGAAATTATACTTTTGGGAAAGTGATTCCGTTCACGCCTCGATGTTTTTCCGTTCTAACTTGTTTGCTATTTTTGTGACCCTTGTTCATACACAAATTCCCCAACACAACTGACATTATATTGAACATAGTAACCTTTAATTTTTACATAGTAACCCTATTTTTAACATAATAACCTATATTAAAACTAGTACAAAGTATAACGTTTAATATTATTGTGAACTTAAAGTATAACATTATGACCCTAATTTTAACATAGTAACTTTTATTATTCATATTAACCGGTATATAAAATATTTTATTAAAAAAATAACCTCTTATAGTCTATATATTACCAAAATGACTTTTATTTATATTGACTCTTTTTTTAACTAATAAAACAACAATAGTTTTCTTGATGTTAGTGGTCCACAATGAATTAGTGTGAACCAGGTCCATTTAAGAATTTATATGATTTTTGTATGTAAAGTTTCCTTTATTTGTTGTATAGTAAATACATAGTAGAAGAAGTGTAAATACATAGTAGAAGAAGTTTCCTAAAAAAAAAAAAGTAAATAAGATTGTTTGTGTGTGATTCTTATAAGTATATCAAGATTATATTCTTAAAAAAATAAAATAAAGATTAAAGTAATTTTATGTTTCCAAAAGTCCCAAAACATATACTTCGTATTTTAGATAGGCATATCCATCTATAGAATGTAAAATATCATTACTCCGTACTTATTTTATTCGGTTGATTAAGGTAAATATTATGTAATGATTTCCTAAAATAAAAGTTCAAACAATAAGATATTATATTTTTCTCCAAAATACATCGGATATTAGATATTTTTAGGATTGGACTCTCTTTCCTAATATATGGCTTTGATAAATCCTAGCTCATATGGAATATCGCCTATTTGATTATATATTTGATTGTGGGGTGGATTTCAATTTGTATAAAAGTTCTGTAAATCTTTGATTTTGATAATCTCTAATATATTTTTTCGAGTGAAAGAAGTTAAAAGGTTGGTAGAATTAAGATGGGTGATTATTCGATTTCCCTCAAAAAAAGAAAAGAAAAAGAGAGATGGCTGATTGGTCTATGTTGCCTAATGATCTTCTCGATGCAATTGCTCTGAAATTAGATTCAATTGAGGATTTAATATGTTTCTCCGCGGTATGTCGTTCATGGAATGATGTTTTCATCATGGTTAAGCGAAAGTGGATGCCAACCACACCTTGGTTACTACTAGCCGAGCAAGAGCATGAGCACGAGCACGATCACGATCACGATCACAATCACAATCACGAGCACGAACACAAGGTTTGTTCGGGTTGTAGGAAAATCTTTGACATTCGCAAAAATAAGTGTTTAGAATTGAATATATCACAAGCCTCTAGGAGGCGGTGTTGGGGTTCGAGGTATGGATGGATTGTGATGATAGGCGGCTACGACGACAAGCAAGTCTCGTTATTTAATCCAATCACTAAAGGTCAACTTAGCCTACCATCCCTTGAATCAGGACTCGGTGAATGTGCTACTAAAGTGCGCAAGGCATTTGTAATAAAAATTGACGAAGATGACTTTGTTGTAATGGTGACCAATAATCATCACCAATTATCATTGGCTCGACCTGGAGATAAAACATGGACAAAGGTTATAACAATCAGCGGCGAAAAAGCTCATGTTCTTGATGTGTTGTCCTGGAAGGGATTAGTGTTGATCATGCACAGTTATAGATATCTCACTTGTTGTGATGTTAGCACAATTCGTAACTTTAGCCCATCTCAACCTGTTTATGCCAATAAGCCTTATGGTCTCATTACTTTCCCTTTGGACATCGACGGTAGTTCGAGTATTTGTCAAGACTGCTATATGGTTGAGTTAGCCGGTGATTTTTTATTAGTAGTACGAAATAAGTTTACAATTTGGTACCGCAATTTTGGTCTGGGTCATGACGAACATGAAGCAACACCTTGTTTCACTCGTGATTTTAAGGTCTATAAGTTGAGTTATTTGGGAGAAATCAGGCCTAAGACTAGATCTGATTATAGACACGTGAGGATTTTGTCCAATGTTAAAGATTTAGGTGATTATATGGTATTCGTTAGTAATAACTCTGCCATGAGTGTTCATAAATCAAAGCTCCCTAATTGTCAACATAATGTTATTTACTTTACCGGTGATGAAGAACAACACATGAGTATGTTTGACATGGCGTCCAGAAAGATCAAGCGGTTTTACCCAGGCAACGATACCATGTCTAGGGTTTTTGCTCCTACATTGTTTATGCCCAAATTTTAAGCTAGATGCCTTTGCTGTATTTCTTTTTGTTTGTGAAGACATGCTGTAATTCGATTTTAAAGAATATATATATATATTAAATTTATTAATATAATAGTACTTTAAACTCATTGTTTTTGTTGATCCTGTCTTATATTTATCACTTATGTTCTGATCATAATTACTAGTTACCAATAATGCTTTTTACCAATGCATTAGCACAAACACCCTTATTAGACAAAACGTATAAAGTTGAATTATCTCGTTATGTTGTTGCTTAAAGACAGATCAAAGTACCATAAACAGAAATTGAATTAGCCATTGACTTCATCACCATGTTCACTTGCTGAGGCAGCATAAATTGTGCGTTCATATTCAATGGCAGCCTATCATTCTTCACCGCGTGCTCACGTGCTTCTTATGATAACTTATGATACTTCATGGCTCTGCATACCCCTTCCCTCTCTTCCTCGGACAAGTTTGGGTGTGCCTGCATTTCAAACATAATCGACTCAAATCAACATACCATTGCAAATTAAACAGAGGCAGTACTCCATACTTAACCATAAAGTGTAAAAAAAGGCCTTTGAATCAACTGAGTAAAAGATCTTATTGAGAGCATACCTTGAGGTATCTATCTATAGCTCTGTAGAGATTGTCGTCAGAGTATCGAACATTCTTTGGGAACAATTCAGCAAGCATTCGAAAACCATCAACTGGAAGAGTCCTGTCCCTTGCTATAAGTGCCAGAAAGCCATCCACTAGCCTCACAACTACGTACAAAGATCTTCGATTTATCCTCAACATGTATTATCCTAATCAAGCTCTCAACAATCACCCTTCTTACTTGATGGTTTATGCTTTTGTGGGTTGGTATCCGAACCCCAAATGAGATTCTGGATAGCCATTTAGCAGTCCAGTAGGCTATGCAGGACCCCAAAACCAACCTCGGGTTTAACTCCTTTCTTCCTAATCAAAGTAATACTTCAATAAAATGATCAGTTCTAAGCAATGAAGCAACTATTGGGTTTGTTCATCCCAAGTCCCACATGGAAGGCATAAGGAGGTGAAGAGCAAACTCCATTACTAGTATGAGGCCTTTGGGAAGGTGCCCAAAAACAAATTGATGCGGAATAGTCCCAAAGTGGACAATATTATACTAATTTGGAGTGCAGTGTGCGTACGACCTGTCAAGGTGGGTGACCCCCGGGGCAACATCTTCAAACCACCAATTCTAGCTCTACCTTCCAGCCATAACAGAACTTCACTATCAGCTCGAATACCTTTGGGACAACAAAGAGCAAGAAGCATGGGATGCAGCCTTACTTGTCAAGAATTTAACCTAAAAAATTCTCTAGGTTTTCCCCAAACGCACCCTCCATAAGTTCCCAAAAACTTAATAACACCCTTCATTAACCTCTTTTATTTTGCTGAACTAAACTTTTGACACAAGGAACATGAAGTTACACAGTTGAAAGGTTTAGAAATTACATAGTACATACTTTATATGAAATGTCTGAATTTCAATATTGGGTAGTATCCTCTATACCAATTGGTTTCAAATAAGAAGGTTAGAGAACCATGGACCCATGGTAATTGAGTACGAACCACAAATACTGTCAATATCTGTATCTCTTATTAGCATAATCAGCAATTAGCCCCTAGACTCCCAGCTGCGCTAGTACATTGCTGTAGGAGGAGCTAGCTCAGTTAGGCATATGAGATCGAGTAAAGAATGTATATGAACACAATCTGCAGTACACGAGCCAGGATGAAAATGAGATCAAGCAAGGACATAATTTGACACTTCGACGTGCCTGCAGGACTTGCAGCTGAAAACATTCAAGTTGAATCGCGTTCATAACTTATGAATCTTGAGAGAGTTATCCTATATGCTTAAAACTATAAAAAGATGTAGCTTCCTTTGAGGGGCTATGAGATCCATCATAATTAAATTTATATGTTTGACATTTAAGCCTGTTTTTGTTTAAGGGGTATAAAATTGTAGAGCAGTATTAGACAAAAGCGTCATAATAAACCATTAAAAAGCATCTTGACAATATTATGTCCAAAGAGAAAATGTGATAAATTAGAGTTCCAACAAAACAAAACAACATTTGTCTATTAATTATAGACCAAGGATATATATGTGTTTTTTACTTTTCCTCAAAAAAAAAAAAAAAAAAAAAAAAAAAAAAGAAAAAAAAAGAGAAACAGGAAATAATATAGAGGAGATTTGGGGGAAGGTCGGATTTGTTCTCATATCAATTCCCTTATATTTGACACTAACCCAGGTCACCTAAACTTATGGGAGAGACTGAATCTACATGATCTTATATCTTATGGAAGAATAACACGTGTTGCAATGCACCAATGACAAAAAAAAAAAAAAAAAAAAAAAAAAAAATCCAACCAATCAATTAAGGACGCCCTCTCAAGCAACACTGATGTTGATGGACTGATATCCATTTTTGACATTGCCTTGAAAAGTGGAAAGTGCACTTTAGATAAAGGAAAGTAAATGCACATTTACAAGCAGTCACCAGATCAGATATTACCTCAAATTCAGGAACTTCTCATGATAACAATGGTAGCAATTTCTTCTCGATCTATTAATCCTTTCGCAAGCATCTTGTCATTAAAGAATGAATCATGGTTAGTCTAATCCTTTTGCAAGCACCTTGACAATAATAAGATCGAATACCAAATCATAAGCATCTAAATCTTCCCTTTTTTAGTCCAACTGTTTCAAGTTCAGTTTGAGGAAGGCAAAATAGCTATGCTTTTAATTTACTCTAAAGATGCACATACCAAATTCACATAATTTGGAGATCTTCCCCAGAACAAGATTAATGGGCATAAGGCCATAATGAATTACTCGTATATTGGATTGAATTCTACTCCTTTAAAAATACTCCTAATAAGATGAAGACTCTGATCTATGAAAGATTACCATATTCGGCTTTCTTACTACGTGCCCATGGATATTAAAACACAATACCTGGCCATTGTCCAGTACCGAGATTTCACTTGCATAGAAACGTTAAAAACCTCTGTAAACAAATTAGCACTTACTTTTGGGTTTCCCCCTAAAAAAATGTCTGTGCCTCTGCAAGCCATATTTGTAGAAATGGTAATAGCATGTTTCCTCCTTGCCTGGGCAATGATTTCAGCTTCCCTAGCAGCATACTGGAAGATAAATCAACAAGAAGAAAACAAACTTGAGAAAAATAAACAAATAAGATAAAATGAGCCATCCACAACACAAAGCTCTAATGCATTATCAACTTATGCCATGCATACAGAACAGCTAGGATATGGAAATCACCCACACATTATGAACAAGATCTCCTTTCTAGCAAAGAAATCAAAATATCTGCAGTCATCACTAGCTTGTGTTTCACATCATCATTACTTCACTTGTCACCAAGTACCAACTTTTTCACAAAGTCATTGCCAACCTAAAGGTCCTAAATCCTCAAATCTAAAATATTCAGAGGTGGTACTATTCAAGATATGGAATAAAATCTCGTTTACATCATTTGCTTTGTATAACTAGCACAGTAGCACATTTAGTGAGAAGAAAAACTAGACAGCTCATGAACCCACAAACCATAAAAAGAGGCTGTCATGGAAAGGTTTATGATGTTAAGTTATTCTCGTGAACTTTACCCCTTCTTCATATAAGAGACCTACCTATCAAAGTTGGAAGGCCAAAAGGATAGTGTAAAAACTAAAAACTATATATATATGTCTCAGAGAACTTAGTCATTCAATTAAAATACTAGAACACACAATGCTATAAAAGTGCTACTCTGTTAATTAACAGCAGCAACATTGCAAATTAAGCAATATTAAGGTCAATCTACTCTTCCAAGCCGAGGTCTTTGCCATCTACCTGACACTTACTTGGATTAAAGGAAAAGACTGGATATCAAGCAAACTAGTTTCAGACTCCAAGAGAGCAATCGTGAGCACAATACAGCTAAACTAACTTCCTCAGTCCAAAAATGCAGGGAACTACTACAGGAGATGGAAAACATGGAACTGGTCTTTGAAGGAAGAATTCAGAATGCAGTAGCTGATATTTTTGCTATGGAAGCTAGATGTAACATACAAAGCTTGTATCAACCATGTATTTCATTAATTCCACGCAAATATGTACTACTGCATTAGCAAATGATGTAAAGGACTAAGTAGGAACTCTCTTGATGTACGAAAAAGTGATGCACCATATAATATAAAAACTCTACTACTCTGCTATGACCTTAATCTAAGCATCCTTCTCTTAGAAAAAAAAAAATAAATACTGAAGAGAGTATGATTTATTCCTTCAAAATTCAATAACCAATTTACCATAGAAACATCTTGAAATCAACTTTTAGCATAACATTCAATCAAAATTAAGCACCAAAAAACTTGAAAAATCCAGATACCCTTGTCGCACCAATTTTTTTCTAGTTAGACTCACTGTTGAAGTTCTTGCAGGACTATTTAGAGAATGAGAATATGGAGAGGTTACAGGAATAATGGACTCACAGATGACTTGAAGCTCATTCATCTTTTCTTCGAACTTGGAAGCTTCAGCTAGCTGATTATTTCAACCTAGCCACTGGATTGTTCCCCATCAAAAACAGTAGAATTCTTTAGAGCTCATAAGTTCTTCTAAGGTAACAAATTTAACAAAAATATGGCAAAATTGGCAAACAATTGATAGCATTCAAGCATAGTTCTTTTGGTGAGATAGGAACTTGAAGATTAATCAAGCCTTGAAAACAAAGAAAAGGGAGTCACAAAGATTAGGGATTTATTGAGCAATTCTTTGCATTTTGAAGATATCTCAAAAGCACCTCAACATTGCAAAAATCATCACTAAAATAAGTAATTAAAATTCTAAGAAAGCTATACTTGCCGTTGGCAACTAGGCCATTGCAGCAATTACCACCACAACCGAAAAAATAAAAAAATAAAATAAAAAAAAACCCCTTCCGGTAAGAAAAGCCTTCAAAACATACTCAATC